CCTCCCGGAGCTCTCGCTTGCCCTCGGAGGGATCCCGGGGATCCCAGAGAGGATCCCGAAGATCCCAGTGAGGATCCCGGTGAGGATCCCAGTGAGGATCCCCATGGTCTGGATGATCCCGGGGATCCCGGTGAGGATCCCAGTGAGGATCCCGATGGTCCTGATGATGATCCCAGTGAGGATCCCGATGGTCCTGATGATCCCAATGATCCCAGTGAGGATCCCGAAGATCCCGATGATGATCCCAGTGAGGATCCCGATGGTCTGGATGATCCCGAGGATCCCAGTGAGGATCCCAGTGAGGATCCTGAGGATCCCAATGAAGTTCTCGATGGTCCTGATGATGATCCTGAAGATCTCGATGATCCCAATAACGGTTCTGATGATCCCAACGATGATCCCGATGATCCCAGTGAGGATCCCGACGATCCCAATGATGGTTCTGATGGTTCCGATGATCCTGATGAGGATCCTGAAGATCCCAATGATCCCAACGATGATCCTGATGATGATCCCGAAGATCCCAATGATCCAAATAACGGTTCTGATGATCCCAGTGATGATCCCAATGATCCCGATGAGGATCCCAGTGAGGATCCCGATGATCCCAGTGATGGTTCTGATGGTCTCAATGGTCCTGATGAGGATCCTGAAGATCCCGATGATGATCCCGAAGATCCTGATGATCCCAGTAAGGGTTCTGATGATCCCAGTAAGGGTTCTGATGATCCCAGTGATGATCCCAATGATCTCGATGATGATCCCAGCGATGGTTCTGATAATCCTGATGACCCCAGTGAGGATCTTAATGATGATCCCGATGATCCTGATGATCCCAATGAGGATCCTGATGATTCTGATGAGGATTTCAGTGACGATCCCGATGATCCCAATGAGGATCCTGATGATCCCGATGAGGATCTCAATGATCCAGTGATCTTTATGATGATCCCAATGATCCCAGTGATGATCCCAGTGATCCCAATGAGGATCTCAATGATCCCGATGATCTTGATGATGATCCTGAAGATCCCGATGACAATGCCGATGATCCCGATGATCCCAATGAGGATCTCAATGGTCCCGATGATCTTGATGATGATCCTGAAGATCCCAATGACAATGCCAATGATCCTGATGAGGATCCCAATGAGGATCTCAATGATCCCGATGATCTTGATGATGATCCTGAAGATCCCAATGACAATGCCGATGATCCCGATGATCCCAATGAGGATCTCAACGATCCCGATGATCTTGATGATGATCCTGATGATCCCGATGAGGATCCCAATGATCTTGATGATGATCCTGATGATCCTGATGATGCTGATGACAATCCCAATGACAATCCCGATGATCCCGAGGACGATCCCGACGATCCCGAGGATCCCGAGGACGATCCGGGGTCGGTCACTGCCCGCCGGCGCACTGCACCCCGCGCGACACCGGCGCCGTCCTCCCGAGCCTCTGCAGCGCCCGGAGCAGCCCCATCTGGTGCCGGATGGAATGGTCCAGGTTCACCGTCACCCCCAGCAGCTCCCGCGCCTCGGCCGCGCCGAAGGGGAAATCCCGCGCCAGGAAGGCCTGGAAAAGCTCCGGATCCCCGTCCAAGCTCAGCACCTTCCCCAGCGGCTGCCGCAGCGCGCTCAGCTCGCCCACGTGGTCCTGGAAAACGCTCCAGAGGGATCTCCCCGCCGAACCCGGCGCGGCCGCGCCCTGGCCGGAATCCTCCAGGCACTGCAGGGTCCAGCTGAGGCGGCAGGGCCAGCGGTCGGCCAGCACCACCCATGCGGCGGCCGCGCGCGGCGACAGCGTCCCGGCGGCGCCGTGGCGGTGCAGCAGCAGCCGCAGCGTGATGGGGATGGTGTTGACGATCCGGCGGAC